CGCGTCGTTTTAAGTTTAATTTCAGATACATTTGGAGTATCATCGCTAGTGTTGGTTGTCGGTTGAGGAATTATGAGTGTAGGAGTCGTGTCGTTCGATTGTACCGAAGGAAAATCGACGTGAATAGGATTTCCTTCTAAATACGCTGCTTTTAAGCGATCGATGCTGATGCTATCGTTGGTTCCGTTCTCATCGACTATATAGTACTTAGATTCACGTTGAAGAACTTTGAAAGGTCCTTCGTATGCTGATTCGAAAGGTCGTCGATGTGAGTCTCGACGAACAAAAACGTGTGTGCTATATTTCAAGTCAGGTTGAACGAAAACATCAGTTGATTGAGGTCTAGTGGAAGCAGGTTTAACTGAACGCATTGCGTTTGTAAGCCTGTTCGTGTAGGAGGCTAGATCCATGTTCATTGAAGAGGATGAAGGATCCGCGAATTCCCCTGGAAGTCGAAGTGCCGTTTCATAAACGAGTTGAGCCGCAGTGTATCCAATGTCATCTTTTACTGCATTGCGAATACCTAGTAAGACGATTGGAAGAGCGTCGGTCCACTGTGAAACGTTTGCAGCTGATAGTGAAGCTTTTAGTTGTCGGTGAAAACGTTCTACCAACCGAAGTTTGCTACCCATCGTTCGACGAAGGTGCGGGCTACTGCTTCAGCAGTGATGTCCTTGATAGGTACTGCTTCTGGACATCGAGTGAAACGGTCTACGCAGGTTAAGAGGTAAGAGTATCCATTTGAATCTGGTAAAGGTCCTACCAAATCCAGATGAACATGGTCGAAACGAGCATCGGGAGTTTTAAATGAGCCTAAGGGACATTTATTGTGTCTGATAACCTTAGATTTTTGGCAGCTTACACAGGAGCGTGCCCACTCCATCACGTCTTTATTCATGCCAGGCCAGCAAAAGCGTTCTGCTATAAGCTTGATGGTTGCACGAACACCTGGATGAGAAAGTTTGTGCAATGTGTTGAAGACATCGCGTCGATGATGTTTCGGCATGATTGGGCGATCCCTACCTGTAGATGTGTCACACAGTAAGGCTTCCCTACCTGTTCTCATCTGTTTGATGCGTAGTTTAAGGGTTGTAGACGATAACTCGTGCTGAAGATCAGTGTCTTCTTTTTGAAGCTGGGCGAGTTTAAGAAGGTCGATTCCTTGGAAACTGTTCAAGGAAGTTATGCGGGATAAGGCGTCTGCGACTACATTGTTTGCTCCAGAGATGTGTTGAAAGTCTGAAGTAAACTGCGAGATGTAGTCCAGTTGTCGGGACTCACGGGGAGAGTGCTTGTCTGAAGGAGAGCTTAGAGAGAAGGTGAGTGGTTTATGGTCAGTGAAAAGAGTGAATTCATGACCTTCGATATAATGTTGAAAATGCCGTACAGCACAATACATAGCTAGGAGTTCCCTACCGAATGTGCTGTACCTCGATTCGGTGTCTGGCAACGTTCTAGAGAAAAATGCCAATGGTTGCCAGGAGTTGTTATTCCATTGTTGTAAGACGCCACAGATAGCCGAGTCCGATGCGTCTACTGCGATACTAATGGGTGCTTCGGTGTCCTGATGTGCAAGCATTGTTGTTTTAGGGATGAGTTCCTTAACTGTGGAGAATGCTTTTCGTGCGTTGTCGTCCAAATTAATGGATTTCGCATTACCACGAAGTTGGTCGGTCAGAGGTTTCATGAGTAATGCGCATTTCGGTATGAAACGTCTATAGAAACTTACCAGGCCGTTAAACGTGTGTAATTGCTTGATGGTGGTCGGTTCTGAGTAATCCAGAATGGCCGCCACTTTGGTTCTAAGTGGTCGGATACCTTGAGCATCGATAGTGTATCCTAGGAAATCTAACGAGTTAATCTAGATTTGGCATTTCTGAACGTTTACAGTAATGCCATGTTTTTGTAATCGTTCGGAAACAAGATCCAGATGCTTGAGATGTGTTTCTCTGTCCGGACTTGCGATTGGGCAGTCGTCAACATACGCATGTACGAAGTTGAGACCTCGAAAAACGTCGCCTATGAATCTTTGGAATTTTTGAGCAGCGTTTCTTAGACCAAAAGGCATTCCCAAAAATTCATAGAGTCTGAAGGGAGTAATGATGGCGGTTTTCGGTATGTCGTCAGTAGCCATAGGGATTTGGTTATACGCTTTAACCCAGTCGATTTTCGAAAAGACAGTTGTACCTTTCAAGGTAGCTGTCAATTCGTGAATGTGAGGCAACGGGTAACGATCGGGAATGGATTTTGCATTCAATCGCCGATAGTCTCCAGTTGGACGCCAATCGTTGCTGTCCTTTTTAAGGACCATGTGCAACGGAGATGCATATGGGCTACTTGACGGTCGTATGATTCCTGAGTCTATCATATGGTCGAATTCGTTTTTCGCTAACCTTAGCTTTTCGAGAGCTAGTCGTCGTGCTTTAGAAAATACAGGTTGCCCTGTAGTCGTGATGTGATTTGTAACGTTACTGGTTACACACGGTAATCTCGGTTGCGTTTGTTGTATCCCAGGATACTTATCGAGAAGTGGCTGATGGAGTGGGTCTATCATATGTTTAATTGTGAATGGGGATAATCTGCAACCAGAGAAGGAAGTTACGCAAACGGATAAATTAGTGTTTCCGTCTACTAGCCTCCGTTTGCGCGTGTCGATTATCAGATTATGGTGTTGTAGAAGGTCCATACCAATGATTGGCATAGAAACATCAGCAACAACCAAGATCCAGTGAATGGGTTTGCGTAAACCCACGTTAAGGTAAACGTACCTTTTGCCATACGTCGCGATCGGTTTTCCGTTTGCCGACTGTAAGTTTAGGGTCGATTCGTGAAGTCGGTCGTTAGGATTTGCCGGGAGAACGCTAACTTCTGCGCCAGTGTCGACGAGGTAGCGAATCTCGTTGTCAAATCTGTGACGAATAACAGACGGCTCTGTTCGCCGGCTACGGTTGCCGTTAATGCGTGCCCGCTTGGAAGTTTTCCGAGTTGTTTTTCGAGTCACTCGGTTTTGTGTTGGGCGAATTGCAGGGTTTTCTGCAATTTCTGGAACACTTTCCATTTTGATTATGATACCAGCACCAGTCGTGGTTATCTGTCTCTCGTGGCCTAGAGACAGATCGCTTACGTGAAATGCTTCTACGTGGAGTGCGCGATCTCTTACGGTCGGTACGATTATTAAGACAACTCGTGAGTGTATGAAATAACTCGGTTATGTCATTCTGAGTCGTTTGAGGTTTTTCTTTGACTGAAAATACCTCGGTAGTAGAAGGTTTTGTAATTTCTTAAATGCGATCGGCAGATGCAGCTAGCTCGTCTAAGGCGTTGTTTTGGAACGAGACCAGAACTGCTTGCACCTGTTGGGGAAGTTTTGACAAGAAGAGTTGTTTGAATAGACCTTCGTCGAAAGTTCTTGGGCCTATTACCTCTCTCGTCCGTTGCAACATGTCCGTCGCAGAACCGTGTTGCAGGTCGATGTTATTGAAGAGTTGATCTAACCTTTGTCGATCGGTTAGGTCTCCTCGTTTAAGAATCGAGCGTTTTAAGATTTCGTAAGGATCGGAAACATCACTAGTAAACATACTAGGTGTTACGTACCTGTTGAATTCGCGCGGTAGTGCCTTGACTACAGCGAGGAATTGTGCACGTGTGTCGTTCACGCCGTGCTCGTGGAAGTCGGCTTCTGCGTAGCAGAACCAGGCTTCGATGTTGTCGGGCCAGAAAGGCATCAGTTGAAACGAAGTCGGGGACAAAGTCTTAAGCTTGAGTACTTTAGGTGTCTGTTCAGTCATGATGAAGTATGAAGTACGATAATGAACGAGGGGAAAAATATATATATCCGAGAAAAAACACGAAAAAAATCACAATGTTTAAAAAAAATAAAAAATAAGGCAATGATATACAAAAATCCCAAAAAGGAACAGACTCACAGTTGCAATTAGGTGTACCAGATCACGTCGGTCTCACCAATGATGATGTCACAGGTATTCAGTGTTTGACAACGCTTCTACCAGTAACACATTCTAATATATTTCGTTCCCGCTCAGAGAAATCAAAAGACAGAGTTGAGGAGATCGGAAGAGTATATTTGGCGATGACCAATTTATCGTAATTCTATGATTTAATCTGGCTAGCGATTGCGGTTGATGTTGAGCACGGCGTTACCACACGTGATCTGGTGCGGATGCATGACCTAGCGCCTTCAGCTAGATGAGTCCACTGAAACATATGGTCAGCATCCAATGTCGAAAACTTACAGTGCTATTTATTTTGATGATTTATTTACCGCTACACAGTCATCAAGGTACAGATACATACATGGTGAATAACACTGATCTACCCGTTGTCCAGACACACAATGTCCGAGGTGTCTTTGGTAGCTAAGGTCCAAGGAATACTGCACACTGCCGTGCAGTGGCCGCAAAAGGTTTTAGAGCGTTATGGTCAATACGCATGGCTTTTCGTCATGTCGACGTTAAAATGTTTCTGACTTTGTATACAGTGTTCGTACGTCTTAAGCTTGAGTATTGCATCCAAGAGGCCAGCCTCTGCTTAAAAAAGGACAGTGAGCTTTTGAAAAAGGTTCAGTGAACAGCAACAAAGCTAATTTCCGGAATAGCGAAGCTCCCGTATGATGCTTGACTGGGCAAGCTTAACCTATTCCCGTTGTCCTATCATAGAACCAAAGGCGAATTGATTACAGTTTTCAAGTTGCCTAGTGATAATTTTGCACTTGATAGGCTATCATTTTTGTTGTTTTCCAAAACAGAGAACTTACGAGGACATTCCAGAAAGCTTCACAAACCCAGAACAATTTATTTGTCAGCTTTCCATTGACTTTCCCATCGAGTCATCAACGAGTGGAATCCATTTCCTCAACACGCGGTTCAGCCTTACTTTATCAACTCTTTCAAAAAATGTTTGATCAAAGAAAGACTATAATTGCCAGAACTAATACAGGCCATCAATCCTACTGACCTTTCAAAACTGAAACTGATTAGGTTGACATGACAACGTTGATTTCCAAAGTACCCGCTAAGTATGAGAATGGATTCTGATTATGTATATCCTATCCACGTAAATGATTATCGACTTTATCCGAGTTGGTGATTAACGGAATTAAATAAACCAAATACGAGTATGGGTTTTTGGATACGTAAATTTTATGCAATCATTGATTTGAACAGGCAATCAGGTAAGTGAAACATAATTATGTTTCCCTTTAAAAGGAAGAACGAAGCAGATTAAAGAAGGCATATAATCCAACTGGATTTAATCAATATTTATAGTCAAACAGAAAATAAATTACAGAAATGTAGTAGGTAGGATGGAATATGAGCGCACACGCTCATGTAAAAACAGTCAGAATAAACAGGGCAATAGCTGACAAGGTCGAAATGTGGTTTAGGGAAAATGAATAGATTGGCTTGTCCGAAAGCTAAAATAAACTATGTATAGGTCGAACATGACACGACGTAACACTATCCACCACAATAGTATGACATACTGATTATCACTCACAAATACACTGTTGCTTACATACACACTTCTTGTTCTCAATTACCTGGTGCTATGATAAAAGAACTCTAATATATTCGCAATCTACGTTTGCAGATCACAGTAATATTCTCATTATATGCTTTGTCTGAATATACATCTCTAACCACAACACAATTGTGATTGGAGTTATCAACTACTATCAACTTTTAAACCACAATAAAGTCAAACGCTTCGATTCCTGACGATTCAGGCAATGTCCTGTATATTTTTCTTGTGTGTATAGATTATATTTAATATATTAATACATTAATTATTGGGTGTAGTGGTTTTTACATTATTTAGGAAATTGATATATTCTTGGTACACTATAGGACCATTTTAATAATCAATATATAAGATTATATGTACTTCGTGAGATTTTCTAGATTAGGCATTTACGTACTTTGTGGTTAGACGTAGGACATTAAGGAAGGACGATAAATATGTTGATGAGGTTGTGAATATTCATGGACTGAGATGATTGGACCACGTGTTACGTATGCCTGAACACCATCTGCCATGACGCGCAATGCTGACTAGTGTGGGAAATGTTCGGAAGAAAGTTAGGGACGGCCAAACCAAAACGTGGCATCAGTGCTTCAGGTCACTAACTTGTAGTTTAAGCCATGATGGTAGATGCAAACCACTTGGTTGTGGTCCGCGTGACTATCGTAACCAATGGTTGGAGACTCTGGGTGACATGGCCCAGAATCGATCACAAAGACTTAGGTGTATACACTCTCTGTCTACCCTTAAACCGTGAGGTTGAAAATGTTTAAAACCTTTGTTTCTACGAACCAATTCCTACTTCTTGGACTATACCCTTATACACAGTCGTTCTTTTATTTATTACTACCATTGCAGTAACTGTTATAAGTTGTGGCCTGTGTACCCTGTTGATGCATAACGTAGTGATACCGCCAATTATGGAACAGTGATTTATCGACTGGACCAATGGCGCATGAAACCAGTACGAGCAGCCTAGAGTCCTTATCGGTCCTGCTCCCAGCCTAGCCCAATCAGTTAAGTCTAAAACACCAATCTCAGCCTCCGCAATATGAATCGTGTATTTTAAACATAGTGAGTTTATATACCAATCAGACAGACCACTACGTACCATAAGATAAAAAGCAACAATCGTGCCAGTTAACTAACACTGTAATAAGGATGAAACGCATAGCTCTTTACCATGTCATTAACATTTACTACAGATCCAATATCGGCTACAGTTGGCCAGTCATGGTGGTATTTGTACGTACTAATTATTCCTTTTGTACTTGATTGCCAGCCGATTAAAGATTTCAAACACATAACGTTCATTTGTTTTCAACTAGTTCTACCTGCTTCAAATAAATATTTCGGAAGTTCTTTGCTGATACGTCAATTCGAACACTTTTGGTTATCATAGTTAGTCAGTTAAACATACACCGCATAGAATGTGGTACGTACTTGAGTACACCAGTTCACGTCGTACATCGATAGCACAGCAGGATAACATCATTGGGATAAAACCCTGACTGGTAGAATTCGGTAAAAAGTAAATCGAAATTTCTGAGTCTGTGTCGGAATTTTGTTCAATACTAGGCCATCCGCTACTGTTTAAATGGAAGTTCGGATCTTTGTTGTTTGCCCTACATATGTTATAAGAGTTAATTGAATACAGAACAAAATCTCATTGAAAATAGTTCAACCATCGTCTAGAGTTTACGCATTATACAGAGTTATAGAGAAACTTTTCATTTGTTATTCTACCACTGTTTCGTGACAATTCGATTCAAAGTTTTTAAAAATCAAATTCATATTAACTATTGCAATGACGTGTGGGCATCAAACAATTTACGATTAGCTCATGGGCTCATATTACCTAAAGTCTGCTAAGTAGCGTTATTCTCCAAATTTAAGGCAACGTGATATTTGGTCGACATTTCGATTCGCGAATATTATAGGTGTGTGATCAATGATCGTGTTTACTAGTTTTAGACATTATGTCAATTATTGTACGTATTGAAGCTAACTATCTTGGTGCTTTTCTGACAAAGTTAAGGAAAGAGGTAACTAACTAAAAAACTGAATTTATCTAGCGACACCGTGAAAAAGACTAGACGCTAACTATCAAAATAGACGAAGCCTACGATTTGGACGCAGATTACGTACTTAACACAGTCGGCACTGATTTTCAAAAAGAAAACGCTAACAACACAGCTTCTTACAAACACAGCAAGAAGACAGAAATAACTTATATTCATTACAAATCTATTACAAACTATTTTATCAACAAACGACTTTAGTGCAGTAAGCCGAACACATTTAACTCACAATCCCAACTCAGTTACGCATATCTAAGTGTTCGGGTTCATTCTAACCACTTATCAACTATTAGGATCTTTCAAATTTGTTAATAATAAAATTTAGGTGACTAAATTAAGAATATCTAGACCTAATGCGGTGATATATCTTTTATAATGATTCATCAACCCAAACATTTTCCTGTTTAAAGTGAGTTCGTTTACATTTTCATTTTATTTCACCTCATACTTATCTACGACGATAAGATAACTATTGTGATGTTATATGAAGTACTCTTCTTGGTTTCATCTCATAATATAAGTACGTGAATGCCCTTAATTTTACTACGTCTTTTGTTCAAGTTAACGCTATTTATAATGTTGCAGATCATTAATTACTCTATTGACTTTATATGTTAATCCAATCGCCCACTAAAATTTATTCTCATGGTTACTACTATCTCTTATTTGATAATGCTGATGTTTTCATGAGCCTCTACAAATCTGAGTAACAACTTGCTAAGTCGTTTAGCAGTCTAGCAACACATGCACAAACATGAAACATTAGTCAATGCAGTCTACTAAAAATTCTATACGTTGAAATTAGCTTTGTAACAACTTGCCCAATGCTGACGATGGTTTGTAATGATACTATAGATGCGGGTTAGTAGCCATGCTCCCACTAATTATAAATCACATTCTCAATGGTATACCTAAGTTAGCAACAACTTTATGCAAGAATATATTACTAGTAATACACAAAACATTTGAATCTGTTATTTTATGACACAAGTAGCAAAAACGTTTTTTAACTGAAATCACTAGGACGTATTTGAATCTATATGGATCTGTTTGAGTGGTTACAAATAAAATCGTTTTGCTGAGAAATCAAACCTAAAAACGAAGGTAACTAACGAGTAGATGTTCTATTTTGGAAGGTATATCCTAAGGTGACTAATTTATTAAAGGTATGATAGACATAACAGTTGTATTGAGGTCATTACATGAGATATAGATAAGGTATATCGATTATGTTTCAATTACAATTTAAATGCAGGTAGATGAATATAAAACTCCGCCTGTAGCTCTATTAGCGCTACTGCCGGTCTCGAGCACGGGTAAATGAGGAGGGCCGCGTGTGGGGTCGGCAACCCCAAGCGATTTGCAAGTCTGATACGACTGATGATTGGTGGTTTAGGAGTAGGTTAGAAGAAAACCAAGGTGGCCAAACTAAAACACGTAACCAGTGCATGCAGTGACTGATCATTGAACTGATCCATGTTAACAAGTGTAGATTACCTAGTTGAAGTCCGGACAATCAATTATCTTTATTAAGGGTTAAAGACTTTAGATGACATGGATCAAAATCCTTTGCTATGGCGCATGTGTATTCACCTTTTTCTCCTCAAAGGTCCTAACTGTTTAAATTCTTCCAAAAAATGTGTTTCACTAGTTTGTATTTTTCCAATCATATTTTTGATGCCCAGTCTTTTCTATTACCACGAGTACTGTTACTGCCTCTATTATTCTGGGATTTGCTCTGACGATTTTATCTTTCTGTTTTAATGGAGAATGGGAACTTAAACCAATGTACTACGTCCTACGCTATGTATCTGCAACTGGCTGATACTGAAAACGTTATGAGTTGTTGTACGTTGAAAAAGTGTTGAAATACAAGCACTTCTATCTACAATGCCACTATTTTGACTGCGAATGACTCGTTTAACTACTTCTCTGAAGAGTAAATCTTAACGAAAAAATACAAGTTATGAGTCTATAGCATAGTTTTCTCTTCTTGTTTACTTATTTCAGGCAGGGTTTCAATTTTCTCTTTGACTATTAAAGAAGAAAAGCACAGGACTTTGTGAAGGCCAAAATACAAGATCATGAGGTAAAATATGTTAATAGTTTGTTCATTCATTCATCCAGATTTTCGAGATATGAATTCAAATTCCTCGTTGTTGTATGGTTATCTCTATTGCCAGTTTTGATGTTTTGTATAACAGTTTACTTCAGAAAGAAGACATTCTCGAAAACGGAATTATGCCGTGAAGGTCTGGTCGATAACGTATCAATTACAAGTGAAGGAGTGGATTGGATCACAGATGAGATTTCTCATTCTAGATTATTTGACCTCAGGTATATGAAAATATCACTTTTTTTATTATTATACACAACTCTGAATATTTTAAGAACAATTAGCTTTTTCAGTGGTTACTTACATACTTACGCCTGTTACTCTTCGTGAAGGAGCAGAGGTCGCTCACCAGCATTCTCCATCCAACCCTGTCCTGGGCAACCCTTTCCAGCTCCTTCCAGTTGTTATTTATCTTTTTCATATCCGTTTCTATTTCCCGACGTAATGTGTTGTTTGACCTTCCTCTTTTCCGCTTTTCTTCAGAATTCCAAGTTAAGACTTGCCTCGTGATGCAGTTTGAAGATTTGCCTAGTGTATTTTCTTTTCATTGGTACTGAAAACGTATTCATGATGGAGTGAGCGAAGAAGTGGTCTCCGTTATCAAATGGATACAATTGTTGCCTAACATAAGTTCACTTTGAGATATTTAGTCTTCCAGTATGTAGTTTGTTTTTAGGTGGATTAACCAACTAGGTATTTTCTTACACCTTTACTTTATAATCCATCATTTGATATTTAGAAGTTAATCATCCAAGCTTGTGTCAACAATGTATCATCATGGTACCTGTTAATTTAATTAACTATTCTTTTCGGGATATCCAGTAAAAGTGTCTTTACTGGGAATGTTTATGAGCTTTCTGTAGATGTGTAAAACTGTGGATGCCTAAACTGTCACATGTTGTACATATATTCTATATTGCCATGACAATGGATCATCCATAAATCTATATTAATTATTAACCATCATTTCTAATGCAACGAATCTAATTTTACATTTAAAACTGTTTTATTGTTTAAAGAAGGGAACTATAGCTTGATGGTTAACGAGAACAAAGTATTGAACAATGAATTCATAGTATGAATAGACATTAAGAATGAGTACAATTCCATATTTCGTTGTCATGGAATTTATTAAAATTTCTTATTTATGTATTATTAGTTATCTGTATTATTCTATTGAACGATGTAGTTCAGGAAACCATACATCAACAGAACAACTAACATCACCATAACAACAATCATACAAAATTTAGCTTTTATTAGATAATAATAAGGAACTTTTAACTTTTCTATTTCAGTGAAAATGTCTTAATCAAGGAGGATCAAATAAAAAGTAGGTTTTATTATTTATTGTTCAATAATAAACGTAATAAGAACAATAATAGTGGCTTTATTCAGTACTGGGTTCAACAAAATATTGAACTTTCATCATTTCATATCTTTAAAAGTTCCTCTTACTTTTCTTATAATGTGAAATATATCTGCATACGTATATGAGTGAAATGATCTCTATGTAGATTGCTTGTGAATGATCGCCTTCTAGATATTATAGCAGTGCATTAAAGTAAATCACTGGAAGTTGAAATAGAAGTAACTTTTGGAATGATTTATAGTGTGTAGTTTCAATGTTTGAGAAGTCGATAGTGAACTGATGAAGAGATTCGATTATTTTCAATCTGGGCTATGTATTGTCTAATAAAATATAAAATATATTTATCTTACATGGAGGCTGTTGCATTTTACCATACCCATGCCCAATCTATCTCCTTTATCCGGACTTAGGACCTGTACTAGACACAGGGGAACTCAAAGGTGGATATCAGTCAAGGTTCAAAGAAGGGTAATGTACTCCACAAGTAGTCAGAAGCACGAACAACAACAAGCACACAACTCAAGCATATATACAGGATGAAAATGTCCTTGGGAAACGGTACAAAATGGCATATAAAAAGAGATAATAAACCTATGACATTTAAAGTGCTCCGAAGTGAGAAATACGACATGAAGATGAAAATGGGTACTTTTGGTACGAAAACAAAAGATTAAAAACTTTAAAAAAATAGAATTATCAACAAAAGGCATTTATCAAATGCGTTTTGAGGATCTAACATCCCCAACAATACTGAATATTGTCAGTAAGTACAGTAAGTCGTCCTTAGTGTCAATACGTCTCATCAATATTTGACAGATAATTCTGATTTAAACAATAAAAACACGAAGTTTAGCGAAGTGATCTCTTTTCAACGAATTGCTTATCAAACTTTACAGTTGTTTACATATAAAAGTACTAGTTCCATGAGTACATGTGAACAAGGAATAATGGAGATGATGTAATAGAAGAATTATAACATTGGATTACGTAATAGAAATAGTAACAGTGGTTTTAATAAGTTAGTAACGAATTATAACATAAATGTAGTATGACGATTAAAATGTTTTTGTTACAATAAGGGAAGGTTAATAAAGGTCAAAGTGGTATAAATAATGTATACAATCTAGTAGTATAATGTTTCTATTACATATTGATTTGATGATTAATTGATTTCTTCTATACGTAAGATACATGGACGATGCATTTGTCATTTCTGACGATAATTTTGAATTAGAAGATATCTTACACTCCATCAACACATGCCACCCTTCCATAGACGTCATGTTAGAAAGTTAGCGAGATCAGTCAATCTCTTTTCTCCATGTACATATCATCAGTATTTACACTAAAGTAAAAGTGCAAGTGGTTTTATGCAAAACGTTTAACTGCAAACTAACTTGATTCGGCAAACGCTGATGTTAATTATGAATTTCTATTGTGTACGATTCGGGGCTCTACATGCTAACTACGTAAACAACGTTGACATTATTTCTCACATCCTTGAATACTCATATGGCATGTCAGTTATTTGTCATTTGATTTATATGTGATAAGTTACAAACTAACCATTTGCAAATGAATGAATATAAATTGTTATAAATGAACTATAGAATAGAAATGGTGGTGAGATTATAATTTGTGGACGATCTTTGAACGATACTAGAGTGACATTGAATGTCTGCCTAATAACTGGTACCAAATGAGGGTTATCCGTGACCTATTGTCTCATACCTGATTGATTCTTCCATAAATTATAGTCTCACCGAAATGTTCAGTTTGTATTGTGTGTAATAATAATGATAATAAGGTGAAATATTTAACTTTCATGTTTTTATTTTAGATGTAGATCGGATCGGTATTTCTCATGAGACACTTAGACGTCGTGCTTTGAATTACATTTATGAAGCACGATACACTTTGAACAATTTACGCAACATTTTTACCCAATTAAAAAAAGTTAATCAAAAGGAATTGGACACTGAAACAGTTTCATCAATACAAGCATCGTTAGTTCGTTATCGACAGAATATGGAGGAAACTATTACACACTTGCAACTTATTCTTAACAAACTAGGTGAATTAGATGAATTTTCACAAATCAGAAAGAATGGCTTAAATAAGCTTTCACAGCGATTACAGGAGAAGATTCAAAAACAACAGGTTAGAATTTATTACTTTTGTATCACTTTGGAATAAGTCAAGTTCTTAAACTTGTAAAAGAAGTAAGGAGGAAAATATATCTGTCTATCTATGCTGGTGTGTGAACCAACAGCAACCATTGTCAACTGTTTTGTTGTGTGCTACTGGTGCTGACAGAAACAAGTAGTATGTATCATGGGTCGAAAGTGAAATGCCTGGTGGAAGAAGGCTGAGGAGATATGAAGAAATAGGGCGAGAATAGAAAGTGATTGGTGTGAAAGCAAAGAAACAATGAATTTTGAGACGATTGATTGAAATTTTGTCAATGACGAATCTGCTGTATGGTTCTCAGATTTGATTGATTGATTCCCATTTGTGTTCTCGTTCACTACACTGTCACCCATACGACAATCTGTCGATTGCAAACTAAAACACGAATACTTTAAATTTTCCAATTTCGTTGGATATTTTGTATCAGTAAGGTATGATATCAAGCAGTTGATTACATCATCACCAGCACAGTTTGCAGGTTTCAACTCATATTCAAAAGGTTATCAGATTAGATCAAGGGAACTTACAAACACAGGTTCAGAATGTTTTGTATCTGAATCAAATTATTGACAATCATCACCATCCTTCAGATCATTATAGTGAGTAAGTAATACAGTTTTAAAGAGACGAGCACTAGATAAGGATGTCAAACCAGTTGGTAAAGTAGTGAAACTTCACTAGTTGAGACGGGCGGGACACGTGTGACGTATGCCCAACCACTAACTGCCCGGATGAGCGATGTCTTATGGTGTAGGAGTAGGTTGGAAGAAATCTGGAGCCGACCAGACCAAATCCTGTCACAAATCCACGAAGTCACTAACAAGTGCACTGAATCATGTTGGTAGGTGTTAACTACCTGGTCAGATCCGCGAGACGATAGCAATCGGACGTTAGAGACCTTGAATAATATGGCTCAAAATCGTTTTTATGGTGTGCGGAGGAGCATCCACTCTTTGCATTTTTCCAAATTTCAATCTCCTGATCTCTCCTTGTTTCTTTTTTCTCTCCAAATTTAATTCACTTGATTATACTCTTCGAATAACATTTACAAACCCTAATGTTTCCGATAACTTCTTATACTCTTGCTATCTCTACCACTATGCGATTTGAATTGACAGTTCAATCAATGTTCTAATGTGGTATGACAACTTGAACTGATGTGTATACATACGAAGTTTGACATTGTTGTTGACTGATTGAGTACCTTTAGATCATTTTAATATTTGTATCTATGAAATTGTTGTTAATCAATTTTACAATGTGTTTGATTCTTATTAATAAATCAAAATTTGGATTTTACCTTGTGATCATATACATATAGAATCCGTCAGATTGTAAAAAAGCCAAATATGTAACATTAGACTTTACTAATCTGTGTGGATTGGGTTGTCGCATGCATCAACTCATGTACTGCTTACAATTGGCTCTTGAAAATGAGCGTGTTTTTGTATTAAAGAAACATCATTCTGGAGACCCATTTCGAGAATGGCTTCATCAGAGCATGTTACCACTTTCTGACAAATGCAGTTACTTGGACTCAGATAATAGATCAGGTGTGTAAACGTTATATTTATCATTAGTTTGTTGTAAATGTCAGACCCCAGTGATTGTCTTGAACTGTTTACTTGAATATTTTTATTTACTTTTCGACAAAACAACACGACACAATAAATCATTGACTAGAACCCATCAAATAACATAACGCTGTTTACTATCTACGTGAAAGAGCGGGTAAACAAACCTTATTATTGGTAATATTTCATGTTCCATTGCTCCTCCTAATATGGATAAAATCATATTCAATCACTTTTTACGACTGAGTAAGCTTTCGCCTCACAAATCAGCTATAATGTTTGGTTGGTAGGCAGTCAATCTATAAACTACAACTTATCAAGCTTAATAAATATTTCCATTCCCTTGTTTACTTCAGATAACATCGAATGTCCTCTGGTTCGAAAGGCTTTCACCGATCCTAAATGGTTGCCATATGCTCTCCCGATAGATATGAATGAAGAATTATTGCGTTTACACGAGGCACCCTTTGTTTGGTTTGCTGGTCAACTAGCAGCCTACATTTTGCGTCCAAAGCCACAACTTGCACAATTGATCAATGTAACTTTGAAGAGCTTTAAAACGAGTGGTGATCCTGTTGTTGGCGTGCATATCAGGCGTACCGATAAGGTTGACGTTTGTTGATATACGTTGTCAGAATATAGTATGATGCACTTAATTATTCAGAATTTAAACAGTGAATGTTGAAAATGAAAGACACGTTTTCAGTTTTGTCTTTGGATTAAACTACTTTTGAAAACTGGGATGGTCATTCAGAAATCATTATCATCCTGCTCAACAGAATACTGGTTGGTAGATTCGGTTGATTTCGATATACCTGCTGATTGAACAAAGTTTCAGGCTTTTTAAATTTCCCTGAGATTTTTGTGCTTCTTCTGTCGAAGTTCGGACATTTCCCCAATTTGATTTACGCTAAAAATTATCTACAAACATTTATATAAGCACATCTACGTCAAGGCGAATAACGGCTAACCAACGCTCATACAGGAATGGACTGAAAGTGTGACCGCTTTCCACGGTGTCGCATTTGTCGCAGTTTCTCTTGTGTTTTATGTTTTCCTTGTATTTATTTGTCATTATAGCTGTGGGTTTTTACAACAAATATTGTACCGGCTTATAGACTGTACTTACTTCTTATAGTCTTACAAAGCTATTCGTGATCTTGCTGATGTTCTTCGGATAGAGTAGAATTCCCCCCTTTGCTGATGTTTAGTACTGATTTTGTATTTGACGTTATTAAAATAACCCATAACTATATATACGAATGTACAGCTCAAGTAAATGATTTCGTTGAAAAGAAAATTTTCTTCGCTGAATTCTCTTTTTCTTATTTGACGTTATGTTTAACGGACATACCTTGTTGATATTTTGTATCAAACCATTTTTCCGAAATGCATCCAGTTTCTTTTCCCTGTGATGCTTTAATGTCTTTACTGTTTTGAGTAGTTTTTGTAAATATCATATTTTTGCGTCAATAGGTTGTCGCTGCTATAAGTGAGTATTCAACTAGTGTAGTTTGTCTTTCTGCATACTTAGTTTGAAGTTTCTTGTGTTGGTTGAATTTCCATTGTTTTCAATGATCTTTGTCAAATAGATTTGAAGTTCATATGAGAGAATAGTGTATCAAGAGTCAGTTCGTCAGCTGACTTTACTATAGAAATTGAGTAGAAATATCAAGTTTAAAGGTTTTGGTGTAAATACTTCATGAAGAATAAAGTTTATGAAAATATAAAGAGGGTTGAGTTTGGAGCATCTTGTCATTGACAAATATAGTGTAATATTTTCGGAATTGAATATTCTAATAATCACATCTTGCACTTGTACTCTTTTTTATAGTTAGTATTGGAGGCTAAGTTTCATGACTTATCCGAGTACATGGAACACGTGGATAATTTCTTTGATTTACAAAGTGTTCATCTCTTGACTATGTCAAAGAGACATGTAAGTCAATAAGATGATCTCAGTTGTATTTAATCAATAAATGAAACTTCGTTAATTAATTGATCATATTTCAATTCATGATTAATCACAATGAATGTGTTATCCATTTTGATGTGTTGTACTTGATCAAATGTAAGTTGAATTAAGATGTATTCTGTTCAAGTGAGTTTTTTGAGTTACAGTTCTCCATTAGTTCCGCCTTAAACTCCGCCTGGAGTCCCTCCGGGGGCTACTGCCGGTCCCAAGCCCGGATAAAGGAGGAGGGTTGGGCATGGGGTTAGCGTCCCCATCCCGTAGAAAACTAACTCGCTAAAAAAACGCTAACCAGAAAAAATTATTCAAACCTTTTAAACTCTGCCCTGGGAGTCAGAAGGTTTTTATTTAGAAGAATTATGACGCCTCATGATGAAAGCCGAATTCCTTCGGAAGTTACGAGGCCGATGCCCCTTCTGACAACCAGAGCAACCATTTATTTAGGTACATGGAATGTTCGTACAATGTGGGACACTGGAAGAGCCTTCCAAATTGCTGCAGAAATGAGAAGATACAACCTAGAGGTACTTGGGATCAGTGGAACACATTGGACGCAAGTTGGACAACAACGACTAACTACAGGAGAGCTCCTGTTATACTCCGGCCATGAAGAAGAAAATGCACCACATACACAAGGACTTGCATTGATGCTGTCCAAACAAGCGCAAAATGCACTTATAGGATGGGATTCACGTGGACCAAGGATCATCAAAGCCTCGTTCAAAACAAAGAAAGAGGGCATTTCAATGAACATCATCCAATGCTATGCACCTACCAACGACTACAATGAAGACGCTAAAGATCAATTCTACAATAGGCTGCAGTCAATCGTCGAGAAGTGCCCAACAAAGGACCTGACCATTCTGATGGAAGATTTCAACGCCAAGGTTGGAACGGACAACGCTGGATATGAAGACATCATGGGACGACACGGACTGGGAGAAAGAAACGAAAATGGTGAGAGATTTGCAAATCTATGTGCCTTCAATAAGCTGGTCATAGGCGGCACCGTATTCCCACATAAACGCATACACAAAACCACATGGACTTCACCGGATCACTCTACACAAAACCAAATCGACCATATTTGCATCTACAAAACGTTCAGGAGGACTATAGAGGACGTGAGAACCAAGAGAGGAGCTGATATAGCATCAGATCATCACTTACTGGTCGCCAAGATGAAATTGAAACTCAAGAAGCACTGGACAACGGGGCAGACAGTATCACAAAAGTTCAATACGGCCTTTCCCCAGGATACTAACAAACTCAACAAATTAAAGATAGTCCTCAGCAACAAGTTCCAGGCCTTTCATGATCTACTCAATGGAGAAGGAACTACTGTGGAGAGCAACTGGAAGAGGATCAAAGAGGCAATCACTTCAACATGTCATGAGGTCCTGGGTCACAAGAAGCACCACCACAAGGAATGGATCACTGTTGATACACTGGATAAGATTCAAGAAAGAAGAAACAAGAAGGCAGCGATCAATACCAGCCGAACAAGAGCAGAAAAGCTAAGGCACAAGCTGAATACACGGAAATAAACAAACAAGTGAAGAGGAGCATCAGAACCGACAAACGTAAATATGTGGAAGATTTAGCAACGACGGCGGAAAAGGCTTCAAGAGAAGGAAACATGAGACAATTGTATGACACGACAAAGAAACTCTCTGGAAATCGCCGCAAACCAGAACGACCAATGAAAAGCAAGGAAGGCAAGGTAATCACCCACATTGAAGAGCAACAAAACAGGTGGATAGAACACTTCAAAGAACTCTTGAATCGACCAGCGCCACTGAACCCACCCAACATCGAAGCAGCACCCACGGACCTCCCAATCAATGTTGGCTCACCAACAATTGAAGAAATCAGCATGGCCATCAGACAAATCAAGAGTGGCAAAGCAGCAGGACCGGACAACATCCCAGCAGAGGCACTAAAAGCAGACGTAGCGGCAACTGCACGGATACTCCACATTCTCTTCAATAAGATTTGGGATGAAGAACAAGTACCAACAGACTGGAAAGAAGGACTTCTAATCAAAATACCGAAGAAAGGCGATCTCAGCAAGTGTGATAACTACAGAGGCATCACTCTTCTCTCAATACCGGGAAAAGTCTTCAACAGGATATTATTAAACAGGATGAAGGACTGCGTAGACGGCCAACTTCGTGTTCAACAGGCAGGATTCCGTAAGGATAGATCGTGTACAGACCAAATCGCAACTCTACGGATCATTGTGGAACAATCAATTGAATGGAATCCATCACTCTACATCAACTTCATTGACTACGAAAAGGCATTTGACAGCGTGAACAGAACAACACTATGGAAACTTCTTCGACACTACGGCGTGCCTCAGAAGATAGTCAATATCATACAGAACTCATATGATGGATTACACTGCAAAATTGTGCATGGAGGACAGTTGACAAAGTCGTTCGAAGTGAAGACCGGTGTTAGGCAAGGTTGCTTACTCTCACCCTTTCTCTTTCTCCTGGTGATCGACTTGATCATGAAGACGTCAACGTCTGAAGCGAAGCGCGGGACACAATGGACATCTAAGATGCAGTTGGATGATCTAGACTTCGCAGATGATCTGGCTCTTCTATCCCAAACGCAACAACAGATGCAGGAGAAGACAAACAGCGTGGCAGCAGTCTCAGCAGCAATAGGTCTCAATATACACAAAGGGAAAAGCAAGATTCTCCGATACAACACAGAATGCACCAATCCAATCACAATTGACGGAGAAGATTTGGAAGATGTAAAAACCTTTACGTATTTGGGCAGCATCATTGATGAACAGGGTGGATCTGATGCAGATGTGAAGGCGCGGATCGGCAAAGCAAGAGCAGCATATTTACAACTGAGGAACATCTGGAGCTCAAAGCAACTGTCAACCAACACCAAGGTCAGGATTTTCAATACAAATGTCAAGACAGTTCTACTGTATGGGGCAGAAACCTGGAGAACTACAAAAGCCATCATCCAGAAAATACAGGTGTTTATTAACAGTGGTCTACGCAAAATACTTCAGATCCATTGGCCGGACACTATTAGAAACAACGTACTGTGGGAGAGAACAAACCAGATCCCAGTGGAGGAAGAAATCAGGAAGAAGCGCTGGAAGTGGATAGGACACACATTGAGGAAAGCACCGAACTGCATCACAAGACAAGCCCTCACATGGAATCCTGAAGGTCAACGGAAAAGAGGAAGACCAAAGAACACATTACGCTGAGAACTGGAGATAGACATGAGAAAAATGAACAAGAATTGGATGGAACTAGAAAAGAAGGCCCAGGCCAGAGTGGGTTGGAGAATGCTGGTCAGCGGCCTATGCTCCATTGGGAGTAACAGGCGTAAGTAAGTAAGTAAGTAAGTATAGTAGTAGGTAAATGATAGTTGATCAGCTTAACTATGGATCTCAGTGTTTTCTCTAATGATAAGAATATATAATTCGTAAAATGGATGCACGTATAATTAGATGATTCAATGACTTAAACAGATTAGTTAAGAAGTGAATGGTAAAATTGAAATTGAGTACAACTGGGAGGATTAAAATTACATGCATTTTCAAGTAGAAAGTCGAAGTAATTGAGTACAATTTATGTGTATAAATAATGAACTTACTGATATGCATGGCCATACTTTTCATGATATGAAAGGAATAGACTTTTGAGGCACAGAACATGTGCGATGGTATTCTATGGACGACTTTGTAAACCACAAGAACATCAATTGTAATGTAATATAACGTTTCATGTACGAAATTTAGTGATTTTAGGCAGTTAGAAACAATAATGAATCTCATGGACCTAGGATCATCAAAGCTTCCTTCAGAACGCAGGAAGAGTGCATTATAATGAATGCCATCCATTGCTATGGGCCTACGAACGACTACAATGAATACCTTAAAGATCATTTCTACAATAGGCTACTTTCAATCGTTGAGAAATGCCCAAAAACGGACTTGACCATTTTGGTGGATGACCTAAATGCCAAGGTTGTAATGAATAACACCGGATATGAGGACGTTATGGGACGACATGGAATAGGAGAAAGGAACAAAATTGGTGAGAGATTTGCCAACCTATATACCTTCAACAAACTTATCATAGGTGCCGCGATATTCCCACATAAACGTAAATATGTGGAAGATCTAGCAATGACGACGGAGAACGGTGCAAGTGAGGGATATGATGCAACAAAAAAGCTATCTGAATACCAAAGAAAGGAGACCTCAGCAAGTGTGATAATTACAGAGGCATCATTCTTCTCCCAATATCAAGAGACGTCTTCAATAGGGTGTCGGTAAACAGAATGAAGGATTCCGTATACGCTCAACTTTGAGATCAACAGGCTGGATTCTATAAGGATCTACCGTAAATCAACCAAATCGCAACACTACGGATGATTGTGGAACAATCAAGTGAATGGAATTCATCACCCCACATCAACTTCATTGAATACGCGGAAGCATTTGATATAGTGGACAAGACAACACTATGGAGGCTTCTTCGACGTTACGACGTTTTTGTTAAGGTAGTCAACATCATACAGAATTCATATGATGGATTAAACTGCGGAATCGTTCATTGTGTTGTTCACTTGAATCTCCCCATTGTTATCTAGGACTGCAAATGATTAGTCTCTTGTTGTCATATGTGCATCGTGTGCGGACTACATCGATATTATTTTAGGTCACAAGCTTGCAGGTACATCCAGCTGACTAGTCCCAAATAGGACGAAACGCGCATCCTGGATTTCACTGCTAGCCAAATATGTAACTACTGTTAGAAGTCAGTCTTCATGTCATGATTTCCGTCATTTTAAAACGTTATAATGAAGATGTAATAAGATATTGCTTTAGCAAATCAATCAGATCAAATGCACTTTGTCGATGATTTAACCTACTAGTATCAAAACCTTCAGTTAATCATTCCATTTGAATATGTGTACCTCTGCAAATTGTTAACTAATCTACTGGAAATCCCAGTGGGTTTACCGTAGACGAATGTATTATGCTGTGTTAAACTCCCCAGCTAATCAGCACAAAGTTGCACCATGTAAAAATCAATCGGTATTCTAAGCAAGATGAACATGATAATGCCAAGTGGTTAGTTGTCTGCATGTTTTGATAATGAGGTTTTACAAATATCAAAACTGATACATTCAGTTAATCTTACTGATTGAGAGATGTAATTCTGGCACTTATGCCCATTTTTTGTAGTGTTAAGGAAACATGGAAAGTTTCATCGGGATGCACTGGCATTATCCTGAAAGATTTTCAGAATATTAACGTACAATGACTCAACGTTATGATATCAGTTCAATAAGAAACAGTAGTGACTTAGTGCTAAATATTAATTAAAGATTTGAGAACAATTTGTTAGTTAACATGTAAAGCAAAATGCTGTGGAATATTCACTTGTTATTGTAGATTTAAGGCTGTGAAGTTTTCTTGTTTACATTACAGTTCAATCTCAGGTTGATGGTCATTAAAAGTGTATGAGCAGTGGGCATGTTTGGTTCAGCAATCGATCTTGGCTCACTTGTCTAAAGGTTGGACTTTATTTGTGGTGCTGAGATTTACTGAGTTTATTCTATAAGGGGGTCATTGATATAGACCCTTAATAAAACGAGATAGCTGTCCTATACACCCTAGTTTTCCACTCCTGTCTAATTGAGTCTAGCTCAATGCAAACTATGGACTACGAAGAACTCACATTTTTTTGTTTTTAAGAGTTCGGCTTGAATGAGTAGAAATTGTGTGTCATGAGAACAAGAAATGTTTTCAATGTTCTATTATATATAATCGTATCAATTCGTATTCAGACCGACTACTTTATTATTATTATTATTATTATACGGAATGAATCTAATTTGTCATTTTTGAAACTGTTAGAACATGAATGTGGAGAGATTTGGATCAGTTTCTGAAAGAATCATTGGACGAAACAATTCTGTTCAGGCTAAGCGAAGTGTTTACTTGTCGACAGATGATCCGAATATTTTTACTCAACTACCCTACAGTTATCCAAACTACACCATCTATGGTAGTCAAGGTAGATCGCAGTCAGCTAATTTGAATATACGGATGTCAGTTAATTCAATGAATAATGCAATTATTGACATCATTGCACTTTCAATGACAGATTTCCTTGTGTGTACATTTTCATCGAATGTAAGTAATATATATATGTTGACTTGTATTGACGACAATATTAGACGTTGCCTGTTTTGACTGGAATTTGAGGTGAACAAGCAAGTTTGAATAAAGAATTCACATTAATTTTTACAGAAGTGAAGTTGTTATTAGTCACTGCCTCACACATTCACAGCCACATTTGGCCAAATTTTGTACAAATGTTATTTTCTATTTTATTGGTACGATGTGGCCTGTTTGATTAGTATGTTAACTCAGTATATTTGAACTATAAGGATTCATATTGCAGAAGCTGAGACTGGTGTTCTGGACTTAACTGGCTGGGCTAGGTGGAAAGCAGAACTCTAGGCTGCTCGCACGTGTTTAACGAATCCTTGGTCCGATCGATAATTCACAGCTTCTCATTGACGGCTTTGGGCTATAACAAGTAGAAAGCGAATAATGTTTTGAGGATTCATGTATTAATTCATGTCTGTGATTATTGTTCCCGACAGAGAATGAAATAACTACATCGCCATTTTTGAAAAGTTTATTCGATAAACAATGCGTAGCTGTTGACATATATATATACATGGAGATTTCTGTTTCAATGTGTTTCACAAGTCGTGGAAAACTGTTTTGAATATGTTACCTCTGGAAGATAGTCACTAGGGAGCATCGATGGCCCTGGGTTCGAATCCCACGTGCAGAATCTTGGATGCTCACTGCCAATGATTCCCACACTAGAACGATACAGCTGTCCAGTGCTGCCAGGTTTTAATGGCTGTCTAACTTAGATCCGTTCATGATTTTAATGAAACTCAACTATCTTCACCACCTCAAACTGAATGTATTTATTATAGAGTCTACAATTTCATAAAATTTTATTCAAAATCTTAATCCATAAAAACACGGTGGTTGCAATTCCTCCACAAAATTCGATGAAATATTCAGATAATCTCAGTGAATATGTTCATATTTCATACATAATCTTATTGTTACTTTTCTTAGGTTTGTCGTTTAGCCTATGAGTTAATGCAAACACGTCATATGGATTTGGGTGATGCAACACAATTATTTCATTCAATCGATAAGTTTTACCATCAAGAAGATTACGGCAGACTGAAATTTGATGTGATCATTCCAGATATGAAGGTAAATTTGAAGTATGGTGATGTAGTGGAAATTCGCCAAATTAACTGGAACGGTTCAGTGTTAGTAAAACCACAGCAATCAAGTGAAAATATACATAATAAAAACCGAGAGGGTATGGAAAACGAATTCATTGCACCTGCTTACAGGTTTAGACCAAAAATGAACATGACTGGATTCAACTGATGAAGTGAGATTGTTTCAACAGACTATATATCACTGTAGATTCAGTTTTACACCGCCATTTTTATTCCGCTGAAGTTTTGGTGTCTAACATTATCCTGCTCAATATTTTATACACAGCTAATAATTTATATTGACATTCTTATAAATCTGTTGACTATCACTAATGTATGTTTCAGTTAATTTTTTACTGCAATTGTACAGTACTACCGAATAGACGTGACTCATGTAACAACATTAAGAAATTAAAGTTGATTATTGACAAAACAAAAATATTCATTCTAAAGTTATGATTGTTTATGCGAAGGAAAAGGAGTTGGAACAAGTTCACAGTTCTTACATGTATGTTAATTCAGTCGAACAGTCGAAACACATGAGTGAGTTATGCCTGGAAATGAGCGAATGTTGAAGAAATGCACGAAAACCGAAAGTGATTGTTACGAGCGTTAAGAGAATGTAATTACAACGACCCTGGTTAACTTGAGAAAGCTGCTACGTCTTTCATGTGATGCTAAAAGACACTCCCGATTGTACGATGAATCTATTTTCTGAAGGTAACATCGAGTCGACAATCAGTCATTAGTGTGGTGCAGTGTGAGTGAAATTGAACTAAGACATTTGTCTGCATATTTGTAAACAAGAGACGGAAGACAAATGAATGTATAGAAAGTGACGAATTGACTAATTGTCGTGATAAGCTTCGGATATCTCTCATCCTAAATGATCTTGATTATTGTGTCCAGTTGATCATTGACATTCCACATTCCACAAAAATACTACACGAAACATTCATATAACATATTCTGACTGCAGTAGAGTGGTCACGTAAGATTTGACAGACTACCGACTACTCTCAAATGCTGTAAGTTCAATTACTACATTGACCACACGTGTTAAAGAAACAACAGCTCGGCTGGATTACTTTCGTCGCTCAGCATATAATCACTGACAAAGATAAATCTGTTGAAACTGTACGAAGTTAATATTTTCCCGGGTGACTTGATTAGTTTAAGTGACTTAAATATCTACTTAGATGAGTAGCTGGAATGAAATAAACCTTAATGTTTGCCGTGAATACCAGACACATTAGTGATAATAATGCATAATTCAAAACTCATAGATGAAAATCCAAAATCTATCTTGATTGGGGATTTGTAGAACTATGGACTACTATGATATTAGTACTGCTCTAAAAATCCTAAAATTGTACTTTTGTCATGATATAACTGCCTAATCTATAAGATCTTACGTGGAAATCACATCATCGTCTACACCAACTCACTGAATCGTAACAATTACCAATGCATGATGTAGAACAAGCTTAGACTAGAGACAGAACAATATATTTAATATGAATAAAAGATATAACATTCAACAAGGACCACGCTTGCAAAGTCGAGCCATGTCATTCGATCAACTTGAATTAATTCCATTTATTATTCCCTCCTCCTTCATTGTTGGTTTTTTTCTCCGTGTTAAACGTTTAATGTCTATTTCCCACATTGTCTCGTATTAGGGCCCAATGCCACTACAGATTGAGTTATTGGATGATATATTGTACATAAAATTCCAATAGACACTTGTATTGAACTGATTTATTCACAAATAACTAATATATTTGTAATATCTTAATGAGTAGAAAATTATATTTTCTGATGTTTCGTAACTTGGTGTAAGTCACTTCTTCAGAGAGTAAACAATCAACTCAATGCTCAATTTATTCGAAATGATCTTTTCATATTTCATGTATGGGTATGTGAGCAGACTCAACAATGTGTTCGAAAGTTAATATATATTTTGCTGTTAATAGCTGAACTGGCTTGAAACGACGTCATTTTGTGCTTTTAATATAAAGTAGTTCATCAGAGCTGATGGGAATGATAGATACACAGTATAGTGGTTCAACTGGCTCCTCCCATTGTTTGATGATTGACACTCATCCCCATACAACTATCTTCCTAGATCTCTGTCCTTTATATAGTCTCTATAAATTCATTTTGAACAGCTTTGGAATAAACACGAGCATCAGATTAGTCTGTTATCACCATTTAAAATGTATAAGTAAGACACCGTGACTGATCATTATGAGTTAAGCTTCCTAACTGTCTGTGCATATCTTATCTCAATACGTATCCGTTAGTGATTTCTACTTTCTGATGGATAGATAACAGAACTCAATGTTCCTTTTCTTAAGACAAATTTATGTCGTTTGTCCCGTAATTGTAGAATGATTTCTTCACAACTACCAAATCACGATGTTAAATTACTGCGTATGTATGCTAAATAATAACCCGTAAAAGCGTTAACGAGTTTTTCCTGATGATAACTGCAAGTTATCAAACGGTGAACGTGACGTCAGTTTGAAAAAGAATGTGATCATGCTCCCGTGATCAGTAGTATGTCGCGTTCCTGATCGACTAAAATCATGGGCAATATTATCTCTATATACCGCGATTCATTTAAAATTGTCGTTAATTTTCATATGTTAAACGTTTAACTGCCTCAAACTTCCATCCGATACAACTCTCATCATTACTGTTTAAAATAGTAATGCTTCTTGTAATTAACTTATCTAGTATACTTCTTTGTGACAATTGTGTATTTTCCAACTACCGTGATCTGTACTTTAGACGCGTTACTGGGTCAGAAGATATATTGGCAGATGAGAAAGTGACGCACAATAGATCCAAATGATCTAAATCTAGCTTTTCAGGTGGCAACACTAAAAAAATTTAGTTAGGGAACATGCGTCACCTAACTACGATAATACAACCACAGCTGATCAACATGTCAACCGTGAAACCTTGATTCCATTCTCCAAATTTTTGAATATCATACATGATGTAGAAAAAAGCTTAAATGAATAAGTAGGGCACTTTGGTGACAACCTCTCAGAAGACTGAGATATTAACGGAGTCACTAAAAAAATAGATACTGATGCCACCTTACAAATGTATGTAGGAAATAATCATAACATGTTAGATAGTGACGATCACCCCAATGTAGCGGTAAATCAACTCCAAAATAAATAGTTTTGCAAGCACTCAATAGTAATACTGAACGTAGTTCTATTGAACACACCCTAGCCTAAGGCGCTTGATCAATTATTCACACAAATTCATGAGTAAGTAGTCCAAGCTGCGCATTCCCCATCTGTGATCGAACGCTTCTCAACATATCGACCACCTTTCTAAATATATCTCCAAACTCACTCATTCCTAACTTCTAATTTAACTGGATCGATATTTCTTGATTGTTAAGGTGTTACGACCAATGGTGTTGTCAAAGTATGAATATTTGTGGCACCTTTACTAGTTGGAAGGCCACGAAGAGACACAAAACACGAGAAACAATAAGGAAACATTGAGCTTTGATGCTATCAAGCAATGAATCGTGTTAGGGATGCAGAGGAATATACCAATAATTATCATGTTAAGTCTAATGGTGTCCTTGGACTTTAAATGGACATTCCCTATTGGCAAATATTTGTTTCACTTGTTAAATATTGTACAAATGTTGTTTACTATTTTGTGGTACGATTTGGTATGGTCGAGTGGTATATAAATAGAGTATGTCTGAAATACAGTGATTCATATCTCAGAGGCTGTGACTTGTGTTCTGGACTCAACTGGCGGGGCTAGACATGGAAGCAGGACTAATCAGGACTCTATTCCGTTCGTGATTGTTTTACGTTTCAATGATTCAATCTATAATACACTGCTCTCTAATCTTTTTAGTCAAGGACACAACAATTGGCACGGCGTAAAAGTCGACTCAACTTGAAGACTTAACATATCGAAACTCTTCATCGCTTTGCATTCTGTGCAAATGCATATGCACCGCCCAACACAAAACAGACTAAAAAAGAAAGACGCGATCATAGCCACAAAACAACTGGCGGCAATAAACCGTGCTTGAATAAAAAACAATTTGTCACACTACTTAAGGAATTTAAGACAAAATCATTAAAAATCAGCGCCGAATATGTGACTGCCGATATAAAGAGTAAACTAACTGTGCTTATTAAAGACATTAACTCTCTAATAACATTGGTTGTCATCCAGTCAATAGTTCCCTACTAGCTAAAATCCTTTATCCAGATAAATTCCGGTCATTTGACAAAATAACACACTAACTATGATTTGGAGATCTATATTCTGTTAGAATTCACTACCGCTTACTAAGTAGGCCTAAATCGTTCTTCTATAATCGCTATCAAAATACCAAGGTTAACTAGAAAACATCAGCACCCTAAGAGAGTAACTAATGGGGTTACACTTAGGAATGAGCTAGAGGCAACATGCGTCCACTGAATGTGTGGCTGCTACTGCCAAGTCATGGCCTAGATGTATGGATTCAAGAAAAGTATCTCTGTTCATACAGCAAACCGTTTACAGCGATAGGAAACTACAAAAATGAGCTGTGATTTTAAGATAAAATATCAAGCGAAAACGAATTTTGGACAATCAGATACCCTCTAAATATTAATGGACTCCCATATGAAACATGAAGGAGAGCTGATTGTATTTACCACAGAATTTGAGGCTGAGGTTGATACGGTGTTGGAAGATGCAGATTTCGGATTGCTGATCACATTTAAAGCCATTAAAGAAGCTATGAATATGGATAAACCATAAATTTTGAGCGGCTCAACAGATTCCGCTGATTCACTTTGTGTGGGATTTCTCTTGCAAATATCTGATTGAAAACTTACAACACATTGTAAGTTGAATGAGCGAATGAATGAATGATTGGATATATAAATGAATGAATGAGTGAAATGCAAAACGTATCAATGAAATCGGTTAACCAGCAAATCAATTTTACGTATGAGCAGTGAGCAAAACTCGACAAAATAATCATTCTGAACCATCGTACCCAGGAACGGTGATGCTCTAGTGTGGTAGGACGACTTCAGCTCTACATAGCAATATAGCTTATACAGTAAACCACACATATGTAGGGTAGTAAAGGAAATAGACCAGCCTGAAGCGTCAGTTCTTGAACAACGCCTGAAACCCATTGTCTGCTGTCGCACTACTTTGATATTTCTTCCACTGCTTTGATTTCTCTCTCTTTGTTATATTATTGTGTAACGCTTATTTCTTTTATCCTTTTTTGTTTTGTTGTGCCTCTTCCTGTTATTTTTTGGTGGGTGCTATGTTTTCATCATATCGAGCTTCGTTTATCACAGATTGGACTCAAAATACTCAAAGCCGTTTTATTTCGCTAAATAGTTGTTTATCGTTAACAAACAGTGAAC